CGTAAATCCGGGAGGCGGAGCTTGCAGTGAGCTGAGATCCGGCCACTGCACTCCAGCCTGGGTGACAGAGCGAGATTCCGTCTCAAAAAAAAAAAAAAAAAAAATTAGCCAAGTGTAATGGCATGTGCCTGTAGTCCCAGTTACTCAGGAGGCTGAGGCAGGAGGATCACCTGAGCCCAGGAGTTCAAGACTACAGTGAGGTTTTGTTTGTTTGTGATTGTTTGTCTGGTTTGTTTTTTGTTTGTTTTGTTTTATGGGTTTGTTTTTTGTTTTTTGTTTTTGAGACAGAGTCTTGCTCTGTTGCCCAGGCTGGAGTGCAGTGGCATGATCTCGGCTCACTGCAACCTCTGGCCTCCTGGGTTCCAGTGATTCCCCTGCCTCAGCCTCCCAAATAATTGGGACTACAGGTGTATATCACCACAACCAGCTAAGTTTTATATTTTTTGTAGAGACAGGGTTTCACCATGTTGGCCAGGCTGGTCTTGAACTCCTGATCTCAAGCAATCTGCCCATCCCAGCCTCCCAAAGTGCTGGGATTACAGGCTTGAGGCACCATACCTGATCTGCAGTGAGTTATGATGGCACCACCACACTCCAACCTGGACTACATACATACATACATAGTAAATAAATATGAGTATAACATGAAAAAGAAAAATCTCCTTTCCCTGCCCACCTGAAACCCGATCTCTCACCTGAAAAAGAAATTACTGTCTTTAGTCCCCTGTGTCACACAAAGGAGTTTAATTTTTTTGTTTTGTTTTGTTTGTTTTGTTTTTGAAATAGAGTCTCGATCTGTCACCCAGGCTGGAGTGGAGTGCCACGATCTCGGCTCACTGCAGCCTCTGCCTCCCAGGTTCAAGCGATTCTCCTGCCTCAGCCTCCCAAGTAGCTGGCATTACAGGTGCCTGCCACCACATCCAGCTAATGTTTTTATTTTTAGTAGAGACTGCGGTTTCACCATGTTGGCCAGGCTGGTCTTGAACTCCTGGCCACAAGTGATCGCCCGCCTCAGCCTCCCACAGTGCTGGGATTACAGGCATGAGCCACTGCGCCCTGTTCTGAGCTTACTTACTTAGGTGCTCTTAGGTGCTCACTCAGCCTAATTTTTTTTTTTTTCTTTTTTAAGTATTGGCATATTTTAAAGTTTCAAGAGCTTAAAGCAAAAAAAAACAAAAACACAAACAAAACAAAACAAAACAAAAACCTCATTGTGAACACTGTAAAGAGATGTTAATAAAGGATTACGCTTTATTTCATCTGCACTATCTTCTCTTTTTTTCATAGCTTTTTTCAGGACAGCCTTCTTGGCCTCTCACTTTCTCCGCCTCATTAGCGAGTCCATCCGCAATCAATGCTATTGCGAGTCGCTCTCTGACTGTCTTCACTTTCCATTCCTGTTTCCTGATATCTTCCTCGGTGACCAGAAATTGTTGGCAGAGGAGCTGCGAGATACCCACTCCCTCTCTGGGAATTATCTCCACCACATCTGAAGAGCAGGCAAGGTGGGGCATGGGGCAGGAGTGCTCCAGACCACCGGCAAGATCCCCCAGCAGAGATCCACCTGTGTAACTAGGGACAAGTTTTTGCAAAGTATTGGCAAGATCCAAAGTGCTTAAAAGTTCCCCTGCGCTGCTGTAAGCCTGCAGTCCTTGCAGTCTCTTCTGCCAGCAGACCTGCTGAGGCTTCTCCAAGCTCTCCTCCCATTGATGGTATCTGACCTCATTGCCAGGATGGGGTGTAATTCTCGTAACTGGACTCTTGAATGTGTAATTGGACATTCTCAGAGGGATTGAGGTGTTCAAGCCAGGCTTTGATTTGCATTGGTTTACACAGTCACGTTGCTTCCTCTGTGAACTCTTGCCCATCACGCTTCTTTTCCTCTTACACTATTAAAATAAATCATGAAATGGGGTGAAATTGATGAATGAAGCCTGTCTTCTCAGGACAAGGATCTCAGCTGTTTTGGACTTTCATCCTTCCTCTCTCCCTCTGGAGATAGGTCTGACCTGCTTCCTGGGACATCGTCAGGCAGATTTGAGTCAGCACAGAAAGTTCAAGGTCAAAATTCTCCTTCATCATCCTGCAAACCCCCTCCTTGTTTGAGTACTATTTTATTCTCTTTCTGCCCTTGTCACTCTTAAATGCTCAAGTCCTGATACTCCCTCTCATGATGCACATGGCAGTCTTTTACTAAATCTCAAATCTTGCCTTTTGTTTTGTTTTGTTTTCTTTTCTTTTTGGTCCCACTCCGTCACTCGGGCTGGAGTGCAGCGGTGCAATCACAGCTCACTGCAGCCTTTACCTCCCCAGGCTCAAGTGATCCACCCGCCTGAGCCTCCCGAGTAGCTGGGATTACAGGCGTGCATCACCATGCCCGGCTAATTGTGGTTTTTGTAGAGACGAGGTTTCACCACCTTGTCCAGGCTGGTCTGGAACTCCTGAACTCAATGATCCTCCCACCTCGACCTCCCAAAGTGCTGGGATTACAGGCATGGGCCACCATGCCCAGCCCAAATCCTGTCATTCTTATGCATTACTTGACTGTTCATCTGGTTAACAACTGACCTCTTGGTTTGCACAGTTCCTGCAGCTTGTAAGTCAATAATGAAATTATCAACTGCTCTGCTCTTCGAGCCTTAATCCCACACCCCAGACATTTTCAGCAACCCAAACGGCCACGCTCAAAAATAAATAATTCAGGCCCGGCACAGCGGCTTATGCCTGTAATCCCAGCACTTTGGAAGGCCGAGGCAGGCGAATCGCTTGAGGTCAGGAGTTCAAGACCAGCCTGGCCAACATGGTGGTGCGCATCTGTACAAAAAATACAAAAATTAGCTGGGTGTGGTGGTGTGCATCTGTAATCCCAGCTACTCGGGAGGCTGAGGCAGGAGAATCGCTTGAACCCAGGAGCTGGAGGTTGCAGTGAGCCAAGATCGCACCACTGCATTCCAGTCTGGGCGACAGAGCGAGACTGTCTCTAAATAAATAAATAAATAAATAAACCAGAAAACTTATTCACTCACTATAAATTTCTGATTTCCAGTATTTTTAATTCAAACACCCATACCATAGATACCTGTTCTTGAAGAACACACCTTGAGGAACAGGTATCTATGATTTGGATATTTGAATCACTCCAGACCTCCGTATCTTCACCTTCCTCTCTCTCCTCTGATTCCTAGCACTCTTGGATTCTGCAGTCTGTGACCTCAATATTTCCCT